ACAGTCAATTGGAAAACGTCTTTACTTAAGGCAATCTTATTTATATTCTCACTTCCGAATTTTTGTTTACTGATGGACATCACATTCACATTTTCTACTCGTGTGTATGAAAACTATGACAAAACAAGGCATATCCCACATGAAAGCCATAAAAGATAGATAATAGTTTTCTTTATTATACCTTCGAAAATATTTATCAAAGGGCAGAAAAAAGGAAAAAAGGTGCAAAGAATATAGTTATAAATCCTCGCTAAGTATTTAAAAAATTAGAAGACAACCTCATATAAATTATTTATCTTTCAGAAAATGTATGACTGTCTGCTTGCAGACATACAGAGATCTTAATTTAGTGCACATAATATTCAGAGGGATTCGTAAAATGGTTACAAAATATTTTTTCCCAAAATTTTGGTAACAGATAAATGACGTCAATATCTACGAAAATACTTAATAAGAAAATGCTTCATGAGCTATGTTTTCATATAACAAGCAAACGACTTCTTAGATGGCATTGCATAGAACGTTTGAAAAGACGAATATAACTTCTGGCTGGAAGTAAAAAATTTCACGCTTGCATTGAGAAAATATGCATTTCATAATTTATCGATTTTCTCAAAGTTAAAAACTGAAATCATTCTTTAAAACGCTTCATAATCGAACAAATTTCTAAGTTTGTTTTGTTTTATTCTTCTTTTCAACCAAAAAAAAAAAAACGTTTTCCATGAATCTCTACAAGTTGCAGTGGAAAAAAAATGTCCAAAGGAAATAGTAATTCAGTGGTATTCCTGGGAACAATCGACAGTCAAAGAATTTTAATAATTAATCCATATTCTAGATAAATTACAGACAAAATAGGACCGATCGAGGAAAAGCGGTTAAGAAACGGTATAAGTAAGCGAACATTATTGGACGGGGAATAAGACAAATACAGAGCAAACAGTTCCATGATATCCTGACTTGTTGTATTTTGTGCGAATGTTTTGTCTTAATTCCATGAGTTACTGTTGGTAGGGCTGCTTAGTGATAATTTTATTTTGTTCGAACAAACTACAGCACACCTCTTCTAACTGGCCCCCACAATCGAAGAAATAGAATTTCCGTGGTGTAGTCAGAAGTAATTCAAACAGAATGTTGTAGTCAGCTAGGATAATGAGTATAAAACTAGATGCCATAAAAGTTCATATAGTCTTTTTTATTGCTGGGCGAACGATTTCATACCAAATATCAAAATAGTTTAATTATTTATCAAAAAAATGCTATAAGCATAAATATTGAATTTTTTCTTTACACACTAAATTAAATACCAATCAAATATGTTTTCTCTTCTCTGCCATATATTGATATATTGCACGATGGAGTGATAAATGTATATTTAATTATAAAGCATATCGATAAACAAAAACATTAGATTTAAAACGATCAAAAGAAAAAACCCACACATAAATGGCTCAAAATAACTGCTTTTTTACCACTTTTACGATTTCTTGTAATCAAATTCAATATTCATAGTAACTCGAAGTACAATTGGAGCAAGTAAGCACGTATGCTTTTGAAAAGGAAAAGCACTCAAGCTGATGCATAGTTTGTGATACAAGTGCAAATGTAAATTCCTAAAATAGTTTTAACTCCTATTTCGATGTCCGGTTTCTGATATTTGATAGAGCATTTACTTATTTTAGTAAAACTTGAATAAATTGAAAAGATACAAAATCTATTCCTTTGGTATGCGTGACGAATAATAAATTCTCTTAGATTGTAGAAAAAAAATTGTCTCATGGCAAAACAAAGATTGTAAAATTTTCTTTTTAACTCTACTGATGAATAAACAACATTTTTACCGTTCCTTTCATCAGACTTCCCAGTAAACATACGCGTATATAGAATTATTAAAAATTGACCAAAGTGCTTCGTCCTTCACAAGTGGTTCACAGGTGCTCGACTTTTCATTATATCATAGTTCGATATTATTAAGCAATCGAGCGGGAAACACTATCAAACGAAGCTGAGATACACTTTCTATTGAACTGCAACAAGTAATGGGGGCGGTCTGTAAAGTAAATAGAAGTTTAATTTCGCCTTCATGACTTGAACTGTAATAACATTCACGAGTCAAATGAACTCCTTCTTTTTCCTAGGTTACACTTCAAAAAGCGGAAGGTGAGAAACATGCGCTTCCTTTTCACCAAATTTCGTACTTAAAGTTAACTAAGCATTTGCAAACATAACGTTTTGAATTAACATATGCTCCTTACCCAATCGTAAACACATATTTGAAATAGAGTTGGCCTTATTGTATCTCCACTAAACACCGAAAATTCATTAATATAAAAGAATTGGTATGTATGTGCATAGGAAAACATACTCAATATATACATATATATTTATATACATGCCTTCAAAATTAGCCCGTTTTAAATAATAATTCAAAGACATTTCCTTAATAAATTCATTTCAATTATCAAAGCCATTTGTTAAGCTCGAAAATTCGATTACCAATTATTGAAAACTTCGACTGAATGAAAGCTTTGCAATTTAATGCGTACACATACATCGAAACATTGGATGTGTTCATGCAAGGCTTGATTATATTATACATGCATATAAAATAAGTTCCTGAAGCCAATGGGTTTAACGGCAAAAGATCTCTTCAAAGGCCTTAACTTCATTTCATTGCTTACTTTCATTAAAATATCATTCATATGCAAGATATATTATTAGCTGTCACTTCTACAAGAATGCTGGTATTGCGAATGACGGTTTGTGCGGTTTTAGAGGAAGCATTTGGCGGTTAGTAGTATATTAGTTAATAGTTTTCTAAGTTAAGCACACTACCAGTAAATTTGCGGTCCACTTTTGAATTAAGAAAAAACTTTAAGGTTCAATGTATTTAACGTTATTTGCAAAATTTATTTGAAAAAGGGTTTTTTATGAAAATCCTTTAAAAAGCTATTTAAATATCTTGCTAGACGAAAATACAAATTTTTTGTCAAAGTACAACCCACGGTTAAAACAAAACATTTAAATTAATAAGTGAAAAAGGTGTTCTCGCTACATAAACTTTTCTCTAAATAAAAAAGGTGAAATGCGAAATGGAAACTATGCCGAACAGGTATAAAGTGACTGAATAAACAAAGTTTGCTTCAAGGGATTTGCGGATTTATTTGAGTCAAATAACACTGTTGTACAGATATTGCTTATCACTCTGCATAGTCGGTGAACTCACTTTCTCCACTTAAAATATGCGAGTTATATATGTTTTATTTGACATTCAGAAAAGAATTATGGAATTATTAATGCTTAGAAAAGTTCATATCAACACTTATTGCGTTACTTTTCGTACTCAAGCTTTTCTTATACAATGGGTGTATCCACTAAATGATATTATTGTATGGTATTAATAACTCTGTGTCAAAAAAACTACTATTCTTAAAAATTCGTTGAATTTATATTTTTGGTATATGTGAGTTAGAAAACCAAAAATTTCAAATCAAGAAAAACTAATAGAAAACCTCTGAAATAAATGTGCCTATAGAATCCAGTTTTTATCAGATGTGCGCGCTATAATTTTTTTTGTTTTTTTTAAATATTTGGTTTTATTTAAGTTATAGAAGTAACACGAAATGAACCAAAATTTAATATCTACGTTTCACAAAGATTACTGCGACATATTTGTTTATAGTTTGCGACATTTCAGTTATTGTGGTTTTGTTTTAATTTTTTTAATCTCATCACCGAGATCACCTAGGTTAGATTTATGACTTTGTGTGCAACGTAACGGAGCTTGCTTTGAATGTTTGATAAACTAAGTGCCTTTTCAATAAGCATAGATCTCCGTATTTCACTATATCAAATCCGTTTGAAGTCCTTGTAAATCATTATTTGCAAAAATTCAAATAGAGATGATTAGTGATATCGAGAGGCGAGTTGAACGCAGCTGTTTTGCACACAATTTTCGCATGATAAACTTTATTAACTGAATTATTACTTAGGCCGCATTTACAAAGTTAATAAAGCAGTTATATTTTACGATTGAAGAGTGAAATGAATTTTAAAAAAATTTTTGGCAGCTTGCAATGGTAAAAAATAGATTTTTTAAACTATAATAACATTTTATAAAAAGGAGCAATTGTGAATAAATGACGAATTAATAATTCAATAATTCAGGCAAAACGGTTTTGTATACTTTAAAAGAGAGCGAATTCAATAAATATTTCTGTTTCCTTCAATCGGCGGCTCTACAAGGGCTCTTTAACATTTTGAAGTTAAAAGCAAAAATAATGCTGAACTGAAGATACTACTTTGCCAATACGGTGCCCATTTTCACTTACAAAGCGTATGAATAATATTGAAAATGCGTGCTGCTCTTGCCTTTTCATATTTCTTAATATTTTGTGTAGTTAGTACTCAATGCGTATTCTGTTAGATGAGCTTGCTCAAAATACAATGAATACTCGTCGTTGCGTTCAGTTAAAAGGCTTACGATATTTATAGGCATTAATATTATTTATCTGAACATGCAGCCTTTCTGCACTAAAGCATTTCAATTCTTTTTCGAATCTTATGTAAATAGAACGATATTTAAATAAACAAATAAATAAATATTTTTTATATTTAAATGAATTATATTTTATATTTAAATGAATATATATACATTGATGGCCGTTGCGAGTAACCTCTAATGGTGTCGAGCACCGACGAAGCGTAGAAAGTGTATACATAGTATTTGAAACAGAATTATATAATAATTCTGCTGAATTTTCTACACGACATTTCCCAATAATTCATACGGACCGTATAACTTTAATCCAACTTTTAATAGCGTTTTGCATACTCTTTACCATTTTTCATTGAAAACTAGTATTTTATTATATAATTTACATTTAATTTTTTTATATTTTTGATAATATACGATATTACGTAAAGATTATAAGAATCTAAAATGAAATGGAATATTGTTGCCCTAACTATAATATCAAAATGCCGATTTTAATTCATTGCAGATAACGACTTTCAACTACAATGAAACCGCCTGGATAAATCCATCAGAGGCGGACATAATATTGGGTGAGGATCAAGCAGTGGAATCATTAGTGTGGTTGTTAGTTGTTGGTAAAGTAAATGTCGTAGAATGTTTCTAAATTTTTCACCTTGTTTTTCTCCTTAATTTGAGCATGTCGTTCACTCTCTGCACAAAAAATAGACGTTAAACTTATATTAAAAATACATGGTAGAGTACGCGGTAGTGAATTTCATAGCTTGCATGTTTCTTGTTACACATCATGCTTACACAGAACAAACGGAAATTATTTGCTGGCATTAGAAGTTTTCATTTTTGTCTTTTGTTATATAAACGCTTTTGCGCGTAGTTTTATAACACTCCGTTTAGTTTTTGTTATTAAACAATTATGTAAGTGCGCTTTCTTCTTTAACTTATCTTTTAACCGGCAGGTATTTTTCTATCAGTTTTGATCTTCTTGTCAATAGCCGGAAATATACTTGTCTGCATTGCCATCTATACTGAACGCAGTCTACGTCGCATTGGAAACTTATTTCTTGCGTCATTAGCGATTGCAGACCTGTTTGTGGCGTCGCTAGTAATGACATTTGCGGGTGTTAACGATTTGTTGGGTAAGTTCGAATTTTTCTTAGTTTATCTTATATTTTTAATGAATTTTTTCTTATAATTGCCGTTATAAGAAAGAGTTCTAGCTTGATGCGAAATAAATATATTTTCTTGTAGTATCAACGCTTTTTTCTCTTTGATAAAAAAGACTCAAGTAAGAAAGTTAAATCGGGTCGGGAGCGAATCTTTTATACTCCTCACCATTATGCTAAAAGAGACAAAAAAAAGTACGAGAACAAAACTTTCATGCTCTATAATATGAAGTGGGCGCAGCTGATTTCTTCTATTTTCAAAACAAACGTTTTTGTCGTATAGGCATGAGGGCGTTGTAGGCGTGTCCTTTGAAAAGTTTAGGTCAATTGCAAATCCTTTTACAAATTTGAAGGTTATAACTTTATTTTCGCTAACGGGAGAATGCTTACCACAAACGCAAATAGACAGATGAACAGAGGAATAGGCGGATATGTTTAGGTGTATTCCAAATTTGAAAGTGGCCAAGAATTTGTGTACCTTATGGGATTTTTGAAGCTTGTTGCTGAGCAACAAGCAATTAACTGTAATATTGAGTAGGTATGATCAATTTCTTCCATTTTTGTGCACAAATGCTACACCATCGCCCATAGAATATGCGTTCAAATTTTTATCCATTTATTTGCTGTAGTTTATGAGTAATGAGCCAAGAACCAATTTTTCATTGCGTTTAAAAAACAGACGTGTTCTCATTTTACGTGACGCTGTGGACGTGTCCTTCGACCGATTTGCCCCATTTTCAATACCAACCTGCGTGCAAGAACTTCCCATGTTTCTGCCAAATTTGAAGTCGATAGTTTCATGTTTTGCGGCCAGGAGAAAATTTACAATAGGCATAACACAGACGGACTTAGGATTTGATGCTAACCAAATATAAGTATACTGATGTTTCCTTTTGGGCGGTGCAAACGCTTTGACAAAATGACTATACCTTTCATCCTTCGATGATAGATATAAAAAATTTCTATAAAATCAAAAGCTAAGATGAATGCTGCCACAATATGCACATATGTATTAAAGAATCTGAAATCTGATTCGTCAAAATATATATACATTTAAGTTTTAAAACAATTAAGAAAAAAACATGACCTTAGTTGCCTGTCTATAGTTTTCCTTTCCCTTCAGGTTTTGACGAAATATATTTTGAATTCAAAACTCCGCCAGCCTTAGAAAAAATTGATAAATATCCAGGAACGTTTTGCTAACGATGGAATTGTTAGTGGGAGTTTGTGTTCCAATCTTACACTGTATTCTTATAAGATACTGGTTTCAGATCGACATCCATTGCAGTTTACAAATCTTTCCTAGTATTGTCATTGAAGTTTGTTTGTAGCAAATAACAATTATCATGGGGAAGGAAAGCTCACATATGTCGATATGGTTTACATAATTTTTACATTTACTCACACGAATCTTTGTAGCAATATACATTATCGAGTGGACGTGTATTCTGTACTCTGTAAAAAAATTTCCGCTGTTTAGGTTGAAATGAATTGAATTGACTCCATATACATACAACAAGAGTGCTGAAGTACTAGCAACCAGCAATTATGTCCACAATATTCTTGATTTCAAGATAAGATGCTCAAGATGTTCAAGATGCCATGTACGATATGATGTTTTGCTCAAGTGGTCATTACAACCCTTCAAAAGTTCAACGTGCGAAAGTATCAATGAACGCGTCCACAATTAAGAAAAAATTTTTATACGAGCGTAGCTTCCTTGTTTGTTTTTTCTATAAATAGTATGTTGTGGGCACATACGGTCAACTTATTGCTGCAAAGTTTTTTAGAAACTTTCCTCGCAAATCTCATATATATATATATATATAAGAATAATGCTAATCACAGTTGCGCGTTATGAAAGGAAGCCAGCGCTTCTTCAATGCTTAAATATGAGTAATCGAATATAAAGGACGGCCGTCATTAACGCAGAAGTACTCAACATGTCTGCGGTAAACACCTTCATTAGTAAATGTACTTAAAATTTATTCCTTTGTATTGTTCTTTAAAATGACTTATCTTTATATCTAACCTTAAGGAAATATGTTACGTATACAGTCAACCAAATAATGCGTTTTGACAATTTTTTATAATTGTATCTAGGAAGTAAACGCGTCTCCATGAACATCTCTATTCCTATTATTTATATATGGGTTGTGCGCATAGTAATTGTACATTTAGTGTAGGGGTTTACGCCGTGAGTTCATTATAGAAGTTTGCATACATTTAATGAAGATTTACGTTTCTATTGCTAGTAGTTGTACAGTAAGTAAAATGTCCTGATTTACTCTTGATACCCCATCGCTTTCACCCTTTGTTTTCTTATGTTTAAAATGTGTTTTTATAACTTCAAATGTAATAAAGAAAGCTAGCCTTACATTGGCATATTTGCAATGTGCGTAAGGAACACCTACCTACACTAAGTGTTAGGGTAACTTATTAATATATATATATTTACGCATTTGAGTATATGCAAAAAGAATCTTTTGTTACGTCCGTCTGAACTTTAATTTAAACGAAGCTGAAATACATGGCGGTGTTACTAACGATAATCTGTCCTAAATTACAAATTAAGCAGCTAATTCGATATAGAGAATTTTCTATCGTCATAAAAAACCTCAAATTCTCTGCAAATCTTCTATTCTGGACAGCAGATAACAGAGAATCCTTATAAAACACATTTGTTCTATAAAAAGCTATAATACCTTACCATATGGCAAATATATACATAACTGAAACAGGACAGAATTGAACATACAAAAAGCATATAAAAAGGGAAAAATCTGCAAAGAAAATAAAAAAGGGATCCAATAGTAACGGCCAGTAGCAGCAACAAATTCTTCTAGCTTTCTTTAAAAAATTGCAGAATATAACACGCCTTTATAATACACCTATATAACACCATTTCTTGTCTTTTAAATTAGGACGTATATTTATAAAATAAAGCGCGAAATATATCGTAGCTGGTAAAAACTTTTGAACTGGCAGAGTCTCCTACTAAGAGTACCCTCCCATTGGCATCATAACAAAGGAATTAATTTTGCTGTCATTCATAGCCGACGTCTACCAAATTTACTATGAATGACTTTTTATTCAAATTTTGAGTTTTTACTATCAGCAGATATATTTATTGTTTAAAAACCGACCTTAAAATTTTTGAAAATATATTTGTTGTTGTAAGTATCTCGCAAAAAGCTTTAATAATTTATGAAAACAATGATTAACTCTTTTTAGACACTTTGCGCTCATGTATAGTAATGAAAATTCTTTGTTTTAAAAATTTATGAACAATTACTTGCACGCACACAGTCAATATCAACATTTGTTTATTTCTGTATTTATCATCAAAGGGAACATGCTAAATAGTTGCGCTGCCAACGTATCTTTAGTCATGCATGTGCTAAAAGAATAACACTTGTTCGTGCGCGTGTATGTGAGCGACATAAATGGTCGATAAATTTTATAATATAAACCCATTTGTGCCTTGTCTTGCTTGTATGTGCACGTGTGGAGATATGGATATTTGTTAGATATAGATGTATACACACCGGAATGGTTACAGTTTAGCAAGAAATCGCGTCTGTACGCGTCTGAAGTATTTGAACTAGTCTTATAGAGGAGGTAGAATCTTTTTACGGCCATTGCGATAGAGGTGACCGTTGTAAATGAACTGTGAATAATATTTAATCATAATAAAATAAAATAATTGAAATACTTGTTGTCATCTGAAACTATATTATTGACCAGAGTTGAAGTATTTTACCGGTAAGAATGATTGTGCTAGTGAAGAGTGCGAACTATATTCAAACGGCGACGGAGGGCAGTATCGGAATTATTCTCAAACGACGTTGTAACATTGTCCTAAAAATCGTCTATTAAGCGTAAGAATATATTCTTAGAAAGACGTTAATCGAGTAATTCCCATGCCAAGGTATATATGCAGTTAATAATAAAAGAAACTTAGAAACATATATAATCGATTTGTTATTTTATGACACATATATAACACATAAAGCAAAATTTACCATAATGTTGTACATGTGATTGTAATTTAAGGTTACTGGATATTTGGTGCACAATTTTGTGACACATGGGTTGCTTTCGATGTCATGTGTTCAACAGCATCCATATTAAATTTATGTGCCATATCATTGGACCGCTACATACACATCAAGGATCCGTTAAGGTAAGCTTACATGCAAGTGGAGGGAATTGCACGTGTGCACATGTATATATATCTATTTATATATTTCTTTATCAAAGTGTGGGCTTTCATTTACAGCAATCTCTTATTATATATGTACATACGTTATATTTTATTTACACAAACACTTGCAGTAGTGCTACCTAAATATATGCATGTTTATTCATAAAAGGCAATGAAAGCTCCTTAAATTGTGGTGGTGTCACGGACTTTTGCCTTTATTATGAATTTTCAGAAAATTCGATTTTTTTGTCCATGAATATCAAATACTCGATACAGATATTGGTCTTTCACTTATCGATTAAAGTAGACTTGAAAATGTGATTATAGATTTTGTTGTTTTTTTTTCCGCGTGGAAATACAAATGAATTAAACTTGAACATATTTATTGATTTTTGAATAAAATTTTAACCTTACTAACTAAATTTATTTTTTTATCATGAAGCCATTTGTTTTTTTTTTCTACGGCTATATATAATAAGAAGTAATACGTTTGCATAAAAATGATGAAGAAGGCAAGGTGACTTTAGACCTAGCTTCAATCTCTTTTACATAAATTAGTGCCTAAATTAGAAAATTAACCTAGGCGCGTTCTCGCCTTACTTTAAACTTTTACTTTATTTACTTCACTTGTGTTTCGTAGCTAACTTAAGGTGAATTTTATTTTTCACGAATGAAATATATATATGTATGTGCATGTGTAAGTGCACATAAGAGTTTTTCCCCTCATTAAATGAAGCCATAGTTACAACTTTTTTTAAGCAAACTTAGCTTAGCTTCTTTTAAATACTTAAATCCATTGAAATTTTTAGATGGATAGAATATGCTTCGAGCTAATAAAAGAAATCAAAAAGGCAACAAACACAAAATGAAAACCTACTGTCAACTAAAATCTTACTTTCAATACAATTTCAACATCTTTATGCGTTCTTTACGTCGCATGAAAAAACTAATAAAGTAAAGTAATAAATTTTGCCAACGTGCACGTACAGGTAAAATAAACATAATTATCAAATGTTAGCAGCAATTCGCTGATAATGAATTGAGCCGACAAAGCCATGAGATTTGCGTCTCCAACAACACATTTTCCGAAAAGAAGCTTCCGCACCATGTTGAATGAAAGTACATGTGAATAATGGCTTTGCAAATCAAACTTCTAAAAATTGGAAATATAAGCTACGCTATCCTAAAATTCAGGGTACTGTCCTTTTTCATATTTCCTTTACATGTTTTTTGCTTTAACAAAACACATTCCTTGCCTAACGTGTCTGAGTGCATATCTTCCAGAATAATGCCTATAACCACATCGTTTATGGCTTTATACACGTATCTACGCATGTGTCCCGAGGACTTGACATTCCCTTTCGGATTTTCAAACTGCTTCCAATTGAGGATTAATTAAAAGTGTTTTATGGTTTATTATTAAAAGAAAAAAAAAAATGGTTTCAATTCTAGTCACTACTACATTACCTCTTCAATTTATATGTGTTTATTAAATCGGAAGTCACTTCTGCTAGTCACTGCCACAAATCAAATATTGTAAGGGACAATATTGGGAACAATAGCGTTTGTTAAACTGTGCCAGTTAGAATTGCATTTATACTGGACTTCGATAATTCGACCCAATATTTTAAATGGATATTTACTGCAAACTCTAGGTTGGAGTTTTTGCAATTGCGGGTGGGTCGTATTCATTTTTATGGTGGCTTGTGGGTGCCAACTAAAAATTCTTTCTATGCCTAATCGGAGAGTTGCAGCAATAGTTAAAAGACGAAGGAACGAAAGGATGAACATAACGAAATTGGCCCATAGTCCGTCAATCAACACGTCGTATAATTATTGTGGATTTGATTCGCATTTCTACGCCTTACAATGAAGATTTTGAGCTTATTACGTACCCAATGCTCGCTGTTGCATACAAAATCTAGGAATTGGTATCGCTTCTGATGTAAGTTGCACTAGCAATGTTTTCACGGAAAATTTGCAAATGTAAAATGTTTTTGAGAAGATTTCGACAGGTTCTTAAAATAACGAATGAAAAGCCAAGGTTTATCACCATTTTGCATGCTTCACTGTACTCCAAAGTAATAACAAGTCACACTCTACTAAATGCACCGATAGCAATGTACACCATTTATACTTTTTTTTCGACGGGTTGCTATAACGATAGTTAATAAAAATGGAATGGAATTAAAAGCTACATGCTCTGAAAATATTCTCATGTAGTTACTTCACTAAAAACAATAAAAAAAATTAATAAAAATTAAACCTGAGATATAAGTAGTTAAATGCTACAATTCAGTTAGTTTTCTGCTAAAGCTAAATATGAATCAATTCAATTTACTTTGGTTTGTGTTGCTGCACAACTATGAGCGGCCACCAAATGCATGCTTTAAACGCATTGAGAAAGGATCGAAATCCTAAAATTATATATGGATGTATATCTATATTTTATATATATAATTTTAACTCTAATAATACTTAAGAACGAATATTTTGGTCATCTCAGACTGGACTTGAATTTACTTCTCTATTAGGCATAATTGCATTGAATTGATTTTAAATAATTTTTTGCACATTCGTTTATAAAGAGGGCGGAAACCTAATGTATTTAATTGGAAATTGTTGTGGGGATATTACAAATTATAGAAATTTTTATCAAGTCCATCGTCAAAATGCAAAAGTTGTAAAAAGTTAAAAGACGATTAGATCAAATCCAAAGGAATCGAAGGAGATGGGTGCTTAGAAGTACGTTTACCCTTGTTCAATGCATTATTCCTCTGAATCTATTTGTCAGGGAACACGATAAAAACGTTTAATGCTCAGATTTGACTTTGGACACTATATTGCAAATTATTTTAGCTTTTCTATGCGATGGAAATAAATCCTTTGCCATAAATTCAACGTTAGGTCTCTTACCTTAAAATAATTTCCTATTCATTATATCTAGAATATTTTCTCTTGTCAATAACGTTTCAACCTACTTCTTCTATTTGAAATTAATTAATAAAAACAGAATACATCAAAATCATACGTGACCATTACACCATCTTAGAGGTCATTCATAAAAACTGTTTATTGTCAAATTAATATATATAATAATATCATAATATATGTTAAAGCAATTCTTCACACGTTTTGTATAAATTTTAATATTAAAGCGCTTTCCGCTTTGCACACAAACTGCACAATTTCACAAAGCTTTGAATATGTTGAAATTATTATGTTTTGTTTTTTGCGAAGTTCCGTTTCCTTTGGTTTTTCAATTTCAATTATAACAATTGTATACAGCAAAGTTATCTGCCATACTGTTAGTATTGTGCAAATGTCAAGATATTGTTGCCTATTCATGTGCGTTCGTTATGAGTTTATAACTCCTTCTTTAAGATTTATAAATTGTACAAAATTAGAAAATCAATGAAAAGTGTACTTTAAAACACAACATAGAAATCATACATACAAGTTATATCGCTTTCGTTTAGATATGGTCGTTGGGTGACGAGGCGTGTAGTTGTCATCACTATTGCTACGATTTGGCTGTTAGCTGCCTTTGTCTCCTTTGTGCCCATCTCACTAGGATTACATCGACCCGACGATCAACCGTTAATAGTTGAAGACAATGGCAAAAAATATCCGACCTGTGCGCTGGATTTGACACCGACATATGCGGTAGTTTCGAGTTGTATCAGTTTCTACTTTCCGTGCGTGGTCATGATTGCCATCTACTGTCGGTGAGTTCTTTGTCAATGTGCGCATTTCAATTCACTTTATTTTGAACAATTGAAATTACAGTCGACAGACGCAGATGGATTCGTATACACTTTTTACATTGAAAACTACTAATAGATACTTTTTGTACCAAAATTCATTACTACGCGCTTATTTACAAAGTTAAAAAAGTAAAAATATATTTTTTTGAGTTGTCGTATTGATTCTAAACAAAAAAAGCTGTTACCTACTTTAAATTAAGCTAAACCTAAGTGCACTTTAATAAAAATTAAAAGAAAGCGACCAACTTGTCAAAACTTCAATTAAAAATTTTACCAAATTTTTATTCAAATAAAAGTTTTTCTAAACTTGCACTCGTGTCAAAATGGAATGTGCATTGTTCAAGTATTTCTGTATATCCCATTTTTTGCATTCACGTTCAATTCCGTTGGGATTACTAAAAATGGTAGTTGCTTTACCATAGTAGACTGCTCTTTTTTTTAACAATACCCTCGATACCGCTTGGGGAATAGAGTGCGACATGGAAACGTCGAATGGATATATCGAATTCATAGTATACTAAAGGGCAAAAAGTAAACTATATAAAAACCAATTCTTTAATTTTTAATAAATTAAAAAGTGAAAAATACATCGTTTCCACTTGTACGTGACTGCTAATAAAAGTCTAAACAGTAACAGTCGAAGCAAAAAAAAAACAAACAAAATGGATCTATTACATATGAAAATCTTAAGCGCCCCAACTCTTGTGTATAGTCATATAAAAGCCGCTGTTCGGACGACTTTAATTTACAACTTTAAGTTTATTAAGACAAAATTTTACTCAGAGAAACAAGTCTTTAAAAAAGCGCCCGGTTGATAGAAGATTTCAAGGCTTGAAACTGAGAAGAAAATAAATTGAATACAAGAAATTAATAGAATTATATTTAAAAATGATAGAAAGGAAAAGACATCGACAATGATACATGCAACACGATACCATTAAGTTCAGGAAAGTTAGATCACAAAGTTCAGTTAGTTAGAAAAATATGAAAGAGCTAACGTACTGTAAGCGTTATTTTCGAGCAAAATATGCGATGCACTCTTTCGTAATGCAATAATAAAAAAGTTTATTTTTCCTTGACATACACAGACAAACGTGTATAACAGATTTATTTAGATATCATCGTTGTGAGGCACAATGTTATTAGCAAAGCACGTTATATATTCATGCAATGCAAAAACATTTGGGATTCATTCTATTAAAATATAGTAAATTGATTTGCAAACATTCTGCACATTGAAACGTTGCTATCGTTTGGTTGAGATTTAAGCAAGGATTAGAAAGTTTGACAAGGTACCCTTACCTAGACTAGTCAGCTGATGCATTTCATCACATTTAAGTGTAATGTGCACAAACAGGCAAAAATGATAACATTTACATATATAATACGCAACACAAGAAGTTATTCTTGCCTATTCACCGTCAGCGATTAATACCCTGACGAAGAATTTAAAATAAAGTATATTATTATATTTATCAAAATCTTCGATTCAGTTCATTTTATTTTATTCGCCTGCTTTTAAAAGACAAAATTTTGAAATTAAATTTCGCTTGCTTTGGTTTTTTGTAATTTGTTTTTTTACAGCTTATACTGTTATGCTCAAAAGCACGTAAAGTCTATCAAGGCTGTTACACGACCCGGTGAAGTAGCCGAAAAACAACGTTACAAGAGCATACGACGGCAGAAGCCACAACAAAAAAAATTCAAAGTACGTAACCCGCATAGTTCACCCTACCACGTGTCCGATCACAAGGCAGCCATTACCGTAGGTGTCATTATGGGCGTTTTTCTTATATGTTGGGTGCCGTTCTTTTGTGTCAATATTGTGGCGGCCTTTTGCAAGACCTGCATAGGCGGTCAAACATTTAAAATACTATCATGGTTGGGTTATTCAAATTCCGCTTTCAATCCCATTATTTACTCCATTTTCAATAAGGAATTTCGTGATGCTTTTAAACGCATTCTAACTACGCGAAATATTTGGTGTTGTGCTCAGGATGTGGTCAATATACATCCACGTAATAGTGATCGTTTTGTTACCGATTATGCGGCCAATAAGCATGTGGTGACTATGAATTCGGGGCGTTCATCCGCAGAACTGGAACAAGTGTCTGCAATTTGACCAAAACGTACCGATTATACTACGTCCCTTGTATGTTGTGTATCCAGCTCAGATGCTGCTGCTTTAACGACTACAACTTGTGCGGCATGAGATTCGCTTACAGTGGTCTCCACCATGGTAGAGTCACTGGATGAAAACAACAAAGTAGAAAATATGCAAATGGAAACTGTTCTTGTGTAGAGAGTGAAAAAGAACAAACATCAATCTATTGCACACTCACCCTCGCGCCAACAAAGGCAACCGAATTACAGGGTATGCATTAAACAAACTGTTTTATTTTCTTTTAAAATCAAAACAAAAATATCAAAAAAGCTAGCGCATGACTTGAAGAAGATATGAATTTGCTATGTATTGAACGCAATTAAAACATATTGCCACTTCCTCGATTTAACAATGTAATAAGTAAATCATGTTAGGTATTTAAATTAAGACGAAAGAAGACGTTTGCTAGTGGCTTCATACATTTTCAAATTATTCTAAATTTTCTCAATTACATTTTTTACAAATAGATATTGCAGATGTATGGAAAGATATTGGTTGTTTAAAAAAAATCAATTTATACAATGTTCTGAGTTTTTTAAAGAGACGATGTTGTGAATGAAATTGTTTTATATTGAATCGATTTTGCACCCGATTCTCAAGATGTGATTTTTTCTCTTAATAACATTTACTTACAATTCGGCTATTGAATAATCTGCGCTTTCAAGTATATTTTGTCGCTTTCAATCTTGGAAAATTAGGGCTTTAAATTTAACTAATAAAATTGGAAATACACAACAGGGAGCTTATGAGATTAATTTATCGATCTTCAATACCGCTTTTTCCTATTTAAGTGTTGTAGAAATAGCAACCATTTTTGAACTTTCAATAATTTAATATTCGTATTGGCCGACATGTGGCTTATAATATTCAAATAAAAAATACCTGTTTATTGTTGCTCTATCTTCGAATCTGCTTCTCTTCTGCCTGCCAAAGTTGAATTAAGCTAAGCTCTAGTTTTGTCATAATTATTTATTTCAGAGAAATACACAATTTAAATACTTTCGGTTAAAGTTATCTTTGATTTGATCGCGGATAACTGCGACAAGTGATTGTAGAAGATTTTATTTTGTTGTAATATAATTTAAAAAACAAATACTTTTCTCTGTTGAACACTCAATTTTTCTTTATTTATTATTGAATTGAAATTTCATTTTCAAGGAGACAGCAGGACTCATCCAGTTAAGCAAATTTTTTTCTAAGACTATTTTTCACTTAATTTACTTTCTTTGTATATGCAACGCATCGTTGAAGTGTTTTAATACTTGCTAACTATGCTTTTAGTTACTGTTTTAAGAAGGACGATTAAAACGAAATTCAATTTTGCAAATTAGTTACTATAGACGTTGAAGCAACTTGCATGTGTAATAAAAAATTTTTACATATTTGAAAAATTTACATTTTTACATTTATAAAGCTTTTATAAAAACATGGAAAATGGCGCTGAGGACAAATTCACCACGAGGTCATTTTTAACAATTACACCGATGCAAAGAAGGATTTTAAGGAAAACTTTCAAAATGATTACAAATCACAAAGACAGTTTAAATGAGGGGAAAAGAGCGTTTTTTTGATCATGTTTTTTTATAATTAGGACCATTACTAACTTTTAATTTCTTCGCCGAGACACTGACACTTTCGGAATCGACCTAAGCCTTGTATCCATTTCATGGTTGCTCGTATGAAACTATTCCAAGGTATTTGCATTTAAATGAACATCTTCACTTTCTAAAGACATTTGGTTAAGAAATTATAAATCAAGCAGCGAGATTGCTGTGACTTCTCAGCGGGATTTCATTTGACACAAGAAGTCTTTTTGTTGATCTTAAGGAAGAGTTATGCATGAAGTTAAAAGGTCAGGAAGCTGTTTACTCATCTTCAAAAAGGTTCAGGGCAACTGCACTAAGACCATTTAATGGAACTAGTGTCTTTGTTAATATTTTAAGCATTTTAATATCTAATTTAGGAATTATTTATAATGTACGCAAGTAAACGTTTCAAATGTAACGTTACGTCAATGCATTAAGTATTGCCTCCAATATTAACAGCATCGACACTTGCAAATATTTGATTGTAAAGCTTCTTGTCATAATACTACAATATACACTGTCGGCAGTAATACATGCTATTGTAAGGACTAACCTGAAATTGCCTGGAATTTTAAAGTAGACGGACAACAACAAGTATAATGCCACAAAGTACTTGTGCAAGAAAATGACTTTTTAGGGGAACTGAATTCCTTATAGTGATAGTAACTATTCTTGAATGAAGTAAAAGACAAGCCACCCAAGTGTATGTAAGAAAACGACGTTTTCGTTTTCTAGCAGTAGTAAGCGTCACGCTTGAGTGAACTTTTATACTTCTAAGTAAGTTTGTCTAACTTTCTTACCTGTTGCTCTCAGTGCTTAAACACACATATTTGGAATAAAAATACGAAGGGATATAGGCGTGGTCAAAAATGCCCTCATATAACAGACTCTTTTATGTGTACTTCCTGTCGTTAAACAAGAGTTTTTCTATTATAATTTAAAATTTTACATTAATTACTATAAATAACTAGCAGTTAGTTTGCACTGGACTATTTAGAGGAAATACATATTGACAGGAAGCAGAAACCAAACGAAAAGTTTTCCAGTCCGTACAAAGAAAGAGAGAGAGAGAAATGTCCTTAAAAAGTTAATAATAATCATAACATATTTTTAGATGTTCTTGTTACTCTACTGTTACTTTTGTTGTTGTACGAAGGACAAAAACATTGAAAGTAAGTTTAAATATATTGAAATATTCGGCGCAAGCCATAATTAGGTGTAAGTTTATATTTTGGAGCTCTGTTTGAAAATCGTAGAACAATTTTTATAAAAATAACAAGAATGTCGTTATTTATTTCTCCTATTTTAATTTCTCTCTCTCTCTCTCTCTCCCTCTCTCTCTCTTTCCCACTTGTTTGTTTGAAATTAAATATTTTTCTGCGGCATAACTGAAAGCAATTTAATATATTGCTTGTTTTTGTATATACAGCCACCCAGTTCTATCTACAGCCTAGAATTTATTATTAATTTCAGTTCATTTGATGGGTGCTTGTTTAGGTGGAATGTGCACTTTGTATGTAGAAGGCAGGCTGGACCTGTGCTCTTAATATGTATTTCATTTTATTGTTATTGCAATTACTAACGAAGTTCGGCAATGTTTACTTTGTTTTTCTTTTTTAAATGAAAAGTTTTCGCGTAAAAGAAAAAGTTTCATGCAGCCAGCTGCTGGTTCGCCTCTTCTGCATTTTATGAATACTTAAATTACAATCTTTTCTTTCATTATTTTTGAGAAGTTTTTAATTTTCTTTCAATTAATAAAAAATTTTTTTAGACAGGCTTAAGAAGGCAAGAGCCACTTATTTGGAAAATACATAAAAACATCTTTTGACTTTCAATAAATTTAACAATATTGGTAGGCGTTAATAGATGCTTTTTGTATTAGATAGTGTAAGGCAGTGTTTATGAAAAAAGTAAAGGTTTCCTTATTCCTAAATGGATTTGCCTCAGTTTGAAAATTAATGATTTATTTTAATCGCCTATTAATGCGATAATATTTCCGGTGTATTTTTGTGACAATTAGAACAAGATACTATTCAATTTCATACATAAATGTATTCCTAAAAATAATTCTGACGGATATCCAAGAAATTAATTTTCGGATTACCATTTTTACCACACCAACATCGCGATCGTTTAATAAACATGAATGTTATTTTGCAAGATGTTCTATGCAGCGAGATCCCGCTTTTCGTAATCGTCTGGGTGCAATAGTTTCATTCCAAACATATTTCATTTATAATAGACAATTAACGTTATTAGTTTATGATCAGGTACTACTTTTTGTAAACCAAAGAAAAATGCAAAATGTTATTCCGGATTATTTACAGCCGCGTCTTGTGCCCAACATATTTTCGAAAAAGTTTTCGAAGATACATATTTTATTGAAATTAATTCAAAATTATGTTTCTTTTCTACACAAAGTATTCTATATTTAAAATAATTTTTTTTCTTGCCGAAATTTGTTTCTTGGAAAACTAAAAAAATATTAATTCCGTAAATACATTGCATAATATAATTTATTGTTTTAATTATTATAAATTGTTCACAAATTCCTCTACATTTGACGGCGACGACATGTATGGCATCCGCTGAGTACATGTATGGTTTTATTAGGACATTATTAAGACCGACATTCGTGTTTTTAAAAAATAGAGTTCGCTAAGCTTTTTGATGCCATACACATAGAGCACAGAAAGACATCGTATAGGAACCACTTAATTGTTTCTCAAGCAACACAATACTTTTACTCTGCATTGTAAAAAGGTGCACAAAATAACACAAAAGAAAAAAAATCAAACAAAGCTAACTAAAATATGTTGCAAAGCTTTCGTGACAGTTTTAAACAGAAAATTAAATAAGGATACGTTGTTGGCGAAATAATACAATGAAACGTACTCCTTTGTTTTCGAAACAAACATAAGTGAGAACGCTAAGAGGGCTAACCTTGTTTTTCTCATCATCCTTTTTGCTTAATGCGTTGTTTAATACTAAAAAGTTGTAAATCATTTAATATAAAACTTTTAATAAATTTAATAAGATTATGGCAAAATGTGTCAAAACATTAAAACTTATTTCATGATGACTAGAAATGTTCTGTTAACAGTATTTCGTTTAACGGCTCAATGACTGAATAGATCGATTTTATAATAATTATTTCAGTCCGATGTTGAAAGTAAAGAATATATAAGAAAATATAGAAATCTTGAGTCCTTTCTAAGTCACCGATTTGGATACTTCTGTTTTCTTATAAAGAACACGGGTAAAGAGTAAGAAAAATGAAATTTCTCAAATTAATACAATGCTTCAATACATAAATTCTATAGTTACTCGATACATGCGTATGCAATAGAAAGGGTCTAATGGAAAGATGTCCTGCCTTTACTTTTCTTAATTCTTAAAAAATATATTTTAAAATGCTTTTTCTTTTTGTTAACTTGATCATTTCTTTTATTATAAAAACACTTGTTTACTTATGTGCGTAGAGTCATCAAATAAGTGTTCCTTTTTTTTAATTTGTAATAAAAACAAGTGAAAACATTATAGTCGGGCTAGGCCTTCTTTTAAATACGTCACACCACATTGTCTAATACAATTCTATATTCTCAGAATATAAAAATTGTTACACCCTGTTTTATATTAACTTACTATTAAGGAGCAGCGTATTAAAAATTAGACCTCTTTGCAAATAAAGGTGTACTTCCCGCAAGAATGGTTGTGCCCAAGAGGTCCAAGAGGTAAATTGTGGTACGTGCTCGATATTCAGAATAGTGAATTTTTATATTAAACTACGATTATGGATCAACTTTCATCAAA